ATAAGAGTAGAATGTAAACTGTAACACTAATCCCACGTTGGTGTATGTTGTCTTATATCCTATAAATACTTATTGGTTAGAGTCACCACAAACTGCAGGTCAGTGGTGAAATGGATCTCACCTGTAGCTCACCTGTCTTGCACTAAGCAACATTACACCGGGGTGCCGTGGACTTGCATATTCCCTTTTCACTGCATCCTCCAAGCAAACGTCACTTGGTTTAAGTTCAAACCTTATAATGCCATTTACAATGTATGTTCTCACCCAGTTGTCACCGTTTAGATGCTTGGACATTTTTAAAGACAATATTCGAGTTTCGTGATTGGTTGGTTGGTTGTTGTTTAACGCCGCACTCAGCAATATTCCAGCTGTGTGACGAGCGAACGCTTCAACCCCTAGGCTTTTAGAATAGGTCTTCAGCAACCCATGACTGCCGTAAAAGGTGACTATGCTTGTCGTAAGAGGCGACTAAAGGGATCGGGTGGTGAGGCTCGCTGACTTGGTTGGTCGGGTAGCCTGGTGGTTAAAGCGTTCGCTCGTCACGCCGAAGACACGAGCTCGATTCCTGACATGGGTATAATGTGTGAAGCCCATTTGTGGTGTCCCCCGCCGTGATATTGGTGGAATATTGCCAAGCACGTGGATATAAACAGAATATGAAATGAACTTGTGTAGGGTGTAAAGGGCCCATAACATTTGTAAGTATTAACAATATATATAGTGGGTGAGTTAAAATTTATTTCAGCCATATAGCGATGAATCCAAGTTAATATATTTACAATTTAGTTTTTGATGCAAAGTTTTATTTAAAAACAAGTTGAGCATACTATATTTAGAAACAATTTATGAAACATATTTGAGCATGACAATATTATAGATACAGTTTTAAAACACAGGCTTTAGGCCACCAGTAACCAAAGCTAGGCCACCTCGCTGGGGATCATGGGGATTTACAGTAAAAGAAAATATATAAGTAGCAACTTGTAAATCATAACTAGCAATGCTATAACAAATGTAAATGGTGTAAAAGGGTAAATTACATGTTGAAAAGGTTGGAAGCGTGTATCACAGATGTTTCGTTTAAAATCCGGAAAGTATTGTTGGTATGATAATAACATGCACTTGTCACATTAGTTACAAGTTGTAATATTTCACATTTGTTTTTATTATAGCTTGTACCTGTCAAAAATAAGCCTTAAAATTAAAGGGCCAGTAAACGAATTTGAAGGAAATACATAATACATAATATTGGTCACAATGTTTCAAGACTGAATCAAGAATGTATGATTCAAGAATGTATGAATCAATCTATGCTGAAGTTTGAAATAAACCGTTCAAGACAGTGTACAGAATTGTGTGTCAATGGCCAAAGTGTATCCCCTACACTTACCATTGATGGAACGGGGTCCGGTTAATTTCTTACAATGTTCTCAATTCTCTCATGATAGTGGGGCGGTTAAGGCTGGATTTTAGTCAAAATTGTGCGTTTTGGGTTAAAAGCACCAAACTTGGCACACTTATACATTGAATCATTCCGAACATTTCTGGATATGGGTCCTTCTCAGCAGCGCCACCTGGTGGTAGAAAATCCAAGATGGCCATCAAAATGGATAAAATCTCTTATGACGTCAATTTATATTCAATATACCATCATTATTTTGTCAGTTTTAGTCATTTATGTAAAATTAATTGCAACAGTGTTGTATATAATTCAGATCTAATATGCAGCGCCCATTGGCCGCCAAAATGACTTAATCTTCAAAAAATGTCAAATGTTTGTCCACAATATCAGTATCATTTCTTCATTGCAATTATTTCAATCAATCTTTTAACCCATAGTGCACAATTTTAGCCTTAACCGCGCCACTATGAGAGATATTTACTGTATTGGCTATTTCACGAGTGGCGAGTCGTCGTTCATCTAAATAATATTATGTTTTTTATCAACATTGTTCTACGTAGTGCCAGTTGAAGGTCTTTCTTTATGTTGGATCATTTTGAGGCTCTTTCGTGCCCTCTTGAAATCCGCTGCTCACCTCGTAACATTGGCAAAAGATGAAGCATCATCCCCTGAAGTTGACCACCACATCAACTACAACTATATGACAGCGGTCTTGTTGTAAGAGGCGACTAACGGGATCGGGTGATGCATGTCATCGATCCCAATTGCGTAGATCGATGTTCATGAGATCAATCACTGGATTGTCTGGATTACTACATCATTGCCTGCTGTCCGAGTCGTCTAAGGCGCCGCAAATTTCTGAGCAGAAACCTCTGAATGTTGGTTCGAATCCTACTATACTCCGATTATGTTTCTAGGTTTGTCAGCACCATACCTGTGCTCATGAGTTTCACCCAAGTGGTAAACGTCTGCATCACTTCGAGCTTTCCTCCCACATTAACCTGACACGCCGCGATATTACTGGAATACTGTTAAGAGCGGTGTTAAACCCAACTCACTCAGTTTCAGCATGATAACGCCCGTGCCCACATTGCGAGAGCAACAAGAGACTTCCTCCAACAGAATGGCATCAGAACCATGCAGTGGCCTGCCCTCAGTCCCGATTTAAATATTATTAGTCCCTAGCACCTGTTGGGCGAGATTCAAAACGGCTGAATGACATCCGATCAAGGCCGACAACTGCAGCTGAATTGTGTCAGGCGTTCCTCAGAGTGTGGGCTCAAGTGCCTATGGCCTTTATCAACCGCCTCATCCATTCCATGTATCGACGTTGCACGGCAGTCATTAATGCACATGGCGGACACACGAGATACTGACTTGTGATGCCATTTTCTCAGAGACTAGAGTTGTGTTTCACTTAAAGAACATTTGACACTTTAATTTCAACCTTGATGATCAGTTTTCCCAAGTTTTACTTTTTAATATGTCTCAAAGTATGTTTGCAGTGTTTTGACAAATAAGGTTTCTCATATATCTATCCATGGTGACGTTTATTTTGCGCTTCAGTATATAATGGACGGTCATTGTACAGGTTCCACTGTATATGTAAGTATATCAGTGTGAGGTAAACAATATACGATGGACGCCAATTATATGGCTTGTTTGTTTGAGTATACCAGTATTGTAGGCTAGACATCAATTATGGACGTTCATTGTGTAGGTTCCACTGTATATGTGAGTATATCAGTGTATATACATGGTGGACGGGCATTTTTAGGTTCCACTATATTGTGGACGCCCGTAAGATGCATGTTTACACGTGTTTACGCATGCATGAAGACCATATTTCAACAAGCACGCTGTATGTTTTATCAACTGTGGCAACTAAAAGTAACGTTTACTTACTTAGGGACGCTGTTACTGCAGTGACCCCCCTTCCCCCGTTCAATGCCCACCCCCGTTAATTATGTTTTTGTTCAGATTTCCGGGAGTTATTGAGTGTTCGATGCTCAAATTTTAACATTTGAAACTTCCTAATCTAACACCTTGGTACATCGATCATTTTGTTTCTTCATGTGGCAATAAAAATCTTGTTGGAATAGAAACACAGATTTGCAATCATGTCCCATTTAAAGGGAATGGCTATTTTGTACAATTTAATTCAATTATTCCTGAATAAAATCTACCTATTGAATGACTAAGAATTTTTGCGTCTTTCTTGAAGATTGACTTCTTGAAGAGTGGTTACCTTTATACTTGTAAATATAAGCTTTGAATACTGTTGTTAGGAATTGAGATCAGCAAAATTCCGAGGGCCACCAGACAGCTGGACTGTCATACACACTTTGAGATCATAAGATCTAGTGAGTGTGGAAGGTTTTACGCCGCTTTTAGCAATATTCTAGCAATATCACGGCGGAGGACACCAGAAATGGGCTTCACACATTGTACCCATGTCGGGGATCAAACGAGTTTTCGGCATGACGAGCAAACGCTTTAACCACTAGGCTACAATCCTTCATAAGATCTGGATTTCTTTGGTCTGAAATTTTAAGATTCTTTGGGTTAGCTTTTGGTTTTGTACACACCTCAAGAAAGATATGCACATTGAGAATGTGTCTTGACGCGATGTGCATCAGGACTCATGTGTAGTGTAGACCCGTGAAGATCCGGGGTAGAATAGGTCTTCAGCAACCCTTGCTTGTCGTAAAAGGCAACTATGCTTGTCGTAAGAGGCGACTAACAGGATCGGGTAGTCAGGCTCGCCGACTTGGTTGATGCATGTCATCGATCCCAATTGTGTGGATCGATGCTCATGATGTCAATCACTGGATTGTCTGGTTCAGATTCGATTATTTACAGACCGCCGTCATATATCTGAAATATTGCTGAGTGCGGCGTTAATTAACGAACAAACAAACAAAAGTAATTTAATCTCTCTCTTTCATATTTTGGGAAATGTTAGAGTAACTTGACATTTGGTTAAGAACTGGAAAATAAATGATAAACGCCTGACGTGGGGTTTTGACGACGACGTCGGCGGGGACAAGAAACAAACAACGCTTGCGTGGTGGCCTTAGATGCTTGGGCCATAATTTGCTGCCATATCATGGCTACAGCTCGATTCTCTTGCTTCCAACGACATTGTTCCTTTGTGCTACAGTTGAACCTTTATAGGCATATTCAAGATGTGTTTGGATTATACAGTTCGGTCGTGATACAGGGGTGATATACTCTAGTAAATACGGCATGAATAGCTATATTTGTCCACCAAATAAAATACTATGCTGGTTCGGCTCATTCAATTGGAGACATATAGAACTCAGAGGTCGACATTACCAGATTGGCCCATGAGCCGCCGCCTTGACACAGGACTCCAGGCAGACGTGTTTATACGAAGTTTAACATTCAAAGCCCAAATACAACATCATGTAGAAAATCAAACAAGCAAGTTTCCAGCACAGTGCTTGACATGACCAGCCGATTGATAGAACCGGGCCCATTTTACCACCCGTCCAGGTGAAGTAAGGGTCGAAGTGGTGTGTTGGGCAAAAGGAACACCGGTTCCTGGATCCAGTGCCCTCAACCACCAGAATCCCGTTCTCCACCAACACAGGGGCGCAACCCACGACAAATGAGTTGCCCAACTCGGTCGCTCTTACGACCAGCAATGGGGTGCTGAGGACACAATCTGTTATACCCCGGGTCCCCCACGTGGGTCTTAAGTAGGAAACTATTACTCAAGAAAAACGTTTGTAAAAATCACATACGTGGATTCATACAGTTTACACATTGATTTGTCAATTCATCCAGCACTGAACCAGGACAATAACAGTGAATCCTTACAAGTCAATCGATATTCTTTAACTTAACACACTGTGACTCTTTCAAGAAACCCTGTGGAACTCATTGAGAGACGTAACCGGTTGCATGGTTAAAGAGAATCAATAACATAGTGTACGTTGGTAACATAAATGAGTATTTAGCGACCACATTGCACGAGAGAAAGATGAACGCTGTGCTGTGTCTAATCACTGTCTTCATCCCAGTCGTGTATGCAGGAAACGTATCGAGGCATCGTTTTGACAGACAAGTTGCACTTGAAAGTCTAATGGCAATGGAAAAGCCCTCCAGTAGACAGACGTCTCTTGATGAAAGGACCTGTGCTGATCTCTGTGTCCAGGACGGACTCTGTGCTGCTGTCACCTACCACGATGGCCAATGCGCCATGTACAGATCTACTCTCACGTCCTCTGGGACATCTTTCCCTGGAGCTAAGCACTTCATCAAGGCAGGAGGTGAGATCCTACGAAGTTTGATTTGTAAATTACACATAACTACACACTGACCTTTTAATTGTCCGTCTTGAAGGATGCATTCGTTGATGTTGATCCAACCATGCTTGTGTGAATTTATCTGTTGTCTCGAGGCTGTGAAAATGAAGACAAGAGCATAAACTTGTTTGATAAAAGTGTGGAAAAACTGTGACATAAGTCAACTCTAAAATAGTCTGGAGATGTGTCAAGTATTGTTAATTCTAGGAAGCAGAGTGTGGTAATCTCTTAATGCTGGGTTCACAATATGTTTCTAGTATCAGTAAGATATATTATATAAGATATATATATATATATATATATATATATATATATATATATATATATATATATATATATATGCAGAATACTGATTTCCTGATGTAAATCTAAGATAACGTAGAATAACTTTGGTGCATTTCAGATGGTTAAGTGCGATTGGAATAAAGATTAAAGTTGACAGAAACACATGTATGCCTAAAAAATTTAAGATTATGTATCCGTTCATTAAACTACGTGAATATCAGTGATTATTATGCCTCAAAGTATGCCTGTGAATAATTGACATGATGTCATATATTCTTCAATGATAACCCTTTGTGGAGGCACAGGGCCCACTTGCACAAAGCAATCTTTGCGCCGAGACTCTCGTAAGCTTATATTGGGCCCAAGTCTTTCGAGGCGATCGCGTTTGTTGCCGTGATAATGTTTCTTTACTCTGAATTGACAATGTGAAGATAACAAATATTTGGGCATTTACACGATTATTGAAACCAAGAAAATGCCTGCCAATTTGACATAAGATAAGATGAACACGTAAAAACCATGTAACAAGTATCTGTTGTGATTCGGATGTTGCCAATTGTTGGTCTTTACAGGTGATTACATTGTGTCAGAGGGCCAGACTAAGTGATTTGGATGATTGTATGTAATGGTGTCCAGAAAGTGTAGATCCTTCCTCATCTTGTCAGACACTGATTTGCCTGGTCCAGATGTCATAAATGGACGGCTCCAAAGTAAAATCTGTATATTTCGGATTGTGAAGTTAACAGCAATCACGCTCTCTCTCAGTTGCAGAAATCTGTGCTTGCTCGAGGCAAACAGAAAGAGAAGACATAAGTTGTTTTTTTTCTGGAAACGGTATGGATGGCCAAATCGTCTAAAGTGATGAAATTCGCTTTGCACAATAAGCGCGCTTATAACTTATCATGGTTCGGACCGCCTCCATGGTCAAGTGGTAGAGTGTCCGTCCGGAGAGCGGAAGGTCCGGGGTTCGATCGCCAGCCGCGTCATACCAAAAGACATTAAAAGATGGTACTTGTTGTTACCCTGTCTGGCGCTCGGCATTAAGGGGCTAAAACAAGGACTGGTCGACTCGGAGTCAGTATACTGTGTGTGAGTGGGTTATTAATGTTAAACTGCGGCATGGTATCCCACTGTGCTAGCACTATAAATCGGCATCAGTCCGGACTAGTACAAGCAGCCACACACACACATACACGTGCATGCACGTCGCTATAGAAGTGCAATAATCTTGGACGCGACGTTAAACCCCATTTCACCTCACCGATGATCATGGTTCAATTCCAGATTCGCATGTTATAGGTTTCTCAGCACCATACCCCTGCTTGTTGGTTTCGCAAAAGTGGTAAAACACCTACATCACTTGCGTCTATTTCTCCAACATCAAGCTGACAGGGGCAGCTATAAATGATTTAAACACTCCAACATCACACATATATTTGGTTGATATGGACAAAACATACATGCATACGTACATGATAAACAGTTGGTATTCCCTTTCAGCCCTTCCTGATCCAGACCCATGTCCTGTATCCAGGGGCTACACGTCCGTGTTGTCTCCCCGGCTGTGTTACAAGTACATATCAACCTTCAACAACTGGACTTCTCAAAATGATCTGTGCCATTCTGAAGGTGGCCGCCTTGTCGTCCTCAACAGTCAGGAGAAACAGGAGTTCATGGCCTCATTCCAGAATCAGGGTCAGTGATTAGTTGTCCTTTTTACACGTAACTTATCATACCAGCACCGGCACCAGCGTCACGTTGGTTGGTTGGTCGGTTGGTTTGTTGTTTAACGCCGCACTTAGCAATATTCCAGCTATATGACGGCGGACTATTTGTAATCGAATCTGGACAAGAGAATCCAGTGATTGACATCATGAGCATCGATCCACGCAATTGGGATATGGTGACATGCATCAAGCAAGTCAGCGAGCCTGACCACTCGATCCCGTTAGTCGCCTTTTACGACAAGCATAGTCGCCTTTTACAGCAAGCATGGGTTGCTGAAGACCTATTCTACCCCGGATCTTCACGGGTAGTTAGCGTCACGTAATACACAGTATCAGCGTCGGTTTATATAGTGTCCTATTTTTTGTAAATAATGAACCTCAACACAGACACACATTCACCGTCTGACAAAAGACAGTGGTATATTAAAACGTCACGCTAAAAAAAAAAAAAAAAGAAACTGTACTCTATATAAAGATCAATGAAAATATTTCTTTTCTGGCATCCTTCCGACTTTATGGGCGTGATTCACAATTTGCACGTCGCACAATTTGGATGTTTGCGTGTTTATTGGGAGCATGATATTCACAACCTGCACTGATTCGTTAGCTATCAGGTGCTCGCACAACTTGTGTGAAAAGGGCTTACACAATGGCATGCTGAAATCAACGTCAACGGTCCATGGGTACAGTAAACTACGGTTATAACGAACACGCTTATAACTAACTGACGGATATAACGAACTTGCTTGTTGGGTCCCGACTTTTTGCTTTAGTTATGCTGTATATATGCTTATAACGAACTACGGTTATAACGAACTAAAATTAGTAGTCCCTTTGAGTTCGTTATAACCGTACTTTACTGTATGTTGTTGACAGGAATGGTGCAGACATTTGGATGTTAAACAAGACACAATATCATCTCTTTGGATACGTTATCTACAGCAGGGAAACACTCGTGATTTCTCACGGGTCGGTCGTCCACGTGTTGCGTCATGTAAAAAAGACAGGCATATTCGGCTGTTGCCTCTACAGAATCGATAACAAACTGTAGCTGGAACATTTATATATACAGTAAACTACGGTTATAACAAACTCAAACGGACCACTAAGTTTAGTTCTAAATAACCGTAGTTTGCTATAAGCATATATACAGCATATATGTAACAAATGTCGGGACTAAAAAATTAAGTTCGTTATATCGGTCAGTTTGTTATAAGCGTGTTCGTTATAAACGTAGTTTACTGTAACTGTGTTCAAGTGAATAAAGCAGTCCCGTTTGCATGTTGTGTAGGTGGCAGTAGTGGCCCATATATTCACAGCGTTTTTTCTTGGCAGCTGAGATGTTTCACTCCCTCTGGGTTGGAATGCAGAGCTCCAGCAGCATCGATGTGTTTACCTGGCAGGATGGGTCCACCTATGTCTGGAAGTGGCTACCTGGCGAACCAGACTACGTTAGTTACCAGAGATGTGGACAGCTGTATCATGGTGAGATGTCTGACGCCGAATGTGACCTCCATCGTCAGTCCGTCTGTGAGATACCGCTGTAAGACTTTGGGCTATCAACGCTATCTGTGAGACATCAATGTGAGACTGCCAGATACTAACACGATGCTGTAACATACCAACATAAAACTTATAGATATTGTGGAATTCCAATTTGACAATGAAAAATAACAACGTCCTCACGTTCTCGTTTTGTATACATATAATCATAACAGATAGTATAAATTCTGTATATTGTTAAACGTTGCATTTTCAAGATAATAAACTTGTGATCAGTCGGGATGTAAAAAGTGGATTGAAAAAAATTGGTGCTAAAAGTGAGAGAATGGGGGGATGACATTTTACGCATTCCTGTAAATTATCGAGGCACGGTAACAAACATGATAAACCATGAGATACGGGACCTTATTGGTGAAAAATCACATATTGACTTTTTGTTCCATTTTAAAACAACAGTATCTTCGGAACAGAAAAATACAATTCACAAGCTTCAATTCATATTTATTACAGAGATACATGACATCAAACATTTGGACTCATTATCCGACTTAAAACTGTTAATGTAATGATTGCAGTTTTTGACAAACATGAAATGTCTGAAGAATTGAAAGTAGACATGTATGCTTAAAGGTTTTGAAACTAACGAACAAACGAGAGTAAATAAGTTTTTTTGTCCTGTCCACACACATGGCGATCTACACTGAATTAATCTAAGTTGACGTCAAACGTCTTATGACGTCACAGCATAATTGTATCCTAGTACCTATAATGTCCCTTTTCTCATGGTGGGTCACACATATTTAGTCTCACATCGTCACAACCCGATCTTAGTCCGTTTTTATGACAAGCAAGAGTGAGTGAGTGAGTGTGTGAGTGAGTATGGTTTTACGTCGCTTTTAGCAATATTCCAGCACTATCACTGCGGGGTACACCAGATATGGGCTTCACACAATGTACCCATGTCGGTTATCGATTCCGGGCTACCCAACCACATCACGACACGCAAGAAATGGTGGAGAACTATTCTGCCGTGAAACCTACGGGAATTATTATAGTATAAAATGATAAATGTATTTATATTTAGTGTAGTTCACTAATTTGAATTCTCTACAAGAAACCATTCTCCTGGACACACCTCATGTTTGATTTTCATATTAACTTCCAGATTACCTTTACACAGAAATTCTTCATAAAATGTTCACATATACAGTAGACTACGGTTATAACGAACTCAAAGGGACCACTAATTTTAGTTTGTTATAACCGTAGTTTGTTATAAGCATATACACAGCATAAATACAACAAATGGCTGGGACTAAGAAATAAGTTCGTTATATCAGTCTGTTTGTTATAAGCGTGTTCGTTATAACCGTAGTTTAATATATTGTTATAGATAATGCCATGATTAACCGAGGACGTCTAGTTATTTTACTGACCTTCGTTGGCAGTTTCATTGTATTTATTATGTTTAACCCATGATAGTCACGACATGGCTGAAATATTGCTGATGTGACTTAAACATTTAACTCACTCACTCAGTCACTCACTTACTTACTGTGACTACTCAACTGCTGGGGAGTTGCACAAAACATACTGATATTCTGAAAAACAACAACTATAAGCTATTGATTGGATCTTGATGTTATGGTGTTATGGTTTCAAATCAAATTAAGCTTGAAATAATGATTATCGGGGAATTGGTGAAGCTTGAAGGTAACCTGTAATTACCTATTATTAGGTCATTTAACATGCAGTATGTAACTTCACAAACAGATTAAGATCAATACAATATACACTAAGTACCTGCATAATGTCGGCAAAATTTTGTTTGACAACGGGGTGAAATATTGTATCCAACTACGGTTAATTTGATAGTTTTACAACTACTGTGAGGGGTTAAAATAACAAAAATCCAAATACTTTTGTTTTATAACTTTGCGCTGGTATAACATGTAATATTGTTTTCGCTATTAGTTCAATTATTTGTTGCCACTGACAGTTACTACAAATATATTGACAGCAGTTTCTACAACCATTGAAATTACTTACACATAAGACCCGTGAAGATCCAGGGTAGAGTAGGTAGGTCTTCAGCAACCCATGCTTGCCGTAAAAGGCAACTAACAGGATTGGGTTGTAAGACTCGCCGACTCGGTTGATGCATGCCATCGTATCCCAATTGCGTGGATCGATGCTTATGAGTCAAACACTGGATTGTCTGGTGCAGACTCGATTGTTTACAGACCGCCCTCATATAGCTGGAATATTGCTGAGTAAGGCGTTAAACAAGAAACAAACAAAAGAAAACATACAATTGAGTAAAACATACACTAATGACTGTGTCACAAAGATACACAGCTTCACAGGCGATGGGCCGACTCGTCTTCAGCCGAAAAAACATGAACGTATTCCTTCGCCAGCAGGATTCTTCTACCAGTAAATGAACTGCGCATCGGGATTGTCCTCTAGTTCCATACAGTTTGTAACTAGCATTGTCAAGAGTAATGGAAGTAGGTAAGTTCAGTCAGATCGAGGTTCGGGATGGGGACATATAGTCTGGAAGTTAATTTAAGGTACCAACGTTTACTACAATATCTACTCCAGTCAAAGTTGGTATGAGATTATTAAGCAGTCATACATAACTGGATATTACATTTAAAGACAATCGGTGCATGAATAAAAAATCTGTCTATTTAGCTATCACTATATTTCATCAACAACCAGACCTGTTTGTCACGGGTGGAACGAGCATTCATTGTAACAGCCATCTGCATAATGCTACCCCTGCGTCACAGGGCCATATGACACAGTTGAACCAATCAACTCAACTTGGAAGGTTGCACGCACGAATACGGTCTTAGCATTAGATTTCATGATGTCTCAGCGCAAGTATCTTTCCGCTGATGCGAAAGGTTTCCTTGTTAAAATAGTTGAAAACTTTAAGGCTGAAAGTGAAAGACGTTCGCCCTTCTTTGACATTTCAAAGTACATGGAAAGAACAATTCATGCGTTACAGCTTCCCAAACAAACCGTAGTTAAGATTTTGAACTCTCATAAAAACACATGCTCCCCTGCACATCTCTTAGGGGGCATATCAAAACAGAATAGGAAATTAAAGTTAGATTCCTTTGGTAAGAAAGTTGTCAAGGACACGAGAAAATGTATTTATTTCAACACGAAAACTAAAACAAATTCTCCTTACAGAACATGACTTAGATATTTCTAAATGGACCATTTGTAAACTCCTTTCCAAATTTGGATATCAGTACAAAAAGACGAAGGGGTCCAAATTACCAATGTGTGAACGACCAGATATCATTCGTTTGGACGAAACCTGGGTTAACGCCTGCCACACAGCGGCTTACCAAGAGAGCCACAGCGCAAGATTCCCCCTGGTAAAGGGGAGCGCCTGATTGTCGTCCATGCAGGCTCCCACAGAGGTTTCCTCCCTGGGTGTGATCTAGTGTTCAGATCCAGATCTACAGATGGCAGAGACTACCATACCGAGATGAACAGTATTCACTGCGTATGTTGGGGAGCAGTTCCTCTTAGCACTGCCTGATAAATCCTTGGTGGTTATGGACAATGCTCCCTATCACAGTTGTCAAGATTCTATTAACCGTTGCCTAATCTAAAATTCCACCAAAGGTGAGATATGTCAGTGGTTGGACAACAACCACATTGCTCGGCCCACGAAAGCCAAAAAAACTGACTACTACCAACTGGTTCTTCAGAACAAACCCCCGCCCTCTTATTTGATTGACAACACGGTTGAGAGAACACGGTCACGAAGTGCTTAGACTTCCTCCTTACCATTGTGACTTGAATCCCATCGAACTAATCTGGGGTGATTAGAAAAATATGGTCGCACGGCAAAATAAGACCTTCAAGCTTGCCGACGTCAAGCAGATGGTCTTGAAAGGGATGGGGGAAATTACAGATGTACGTTGGACAAACTGTGTCCAACATGTTATAAAAGTATCCGTCCAGATACTATCCAGCCTCTTGTAATTCATTTACATGACAGCACAGACTCCGAATCTGACGACGAGGGCATTTCGTGGGACCAAGAATAGTGCAATACATATATACCCCTATACAACTACACACGGATATGAATTCTTACATATTCGTACACATTCTGAATCATTTCTTAAGAATCTTAAATATATCTTTTTGTATTCCCAAACATACTTGTAGTTCACGGGATTCGTGAGAAATAAATTTGTTTATCAAAGAATTTCTAGGAATCGTCTACGAATTTCAGGTTCGTGCTTTATACAGTCCGTTTGACTCCAAATGAAAACGATGAATTGCAAAATAACTCGAAATCCAGAAAAGTGTATGAAACATCAATACGGTGCTTGACCATGAATACCTTGTACCCAACAAAATCTGAATTTTGTTTATTTTAATACCCATGACGGATGAAGTTCTTTAAGAAACTATCATGTAATTTTGTATAGAAATGTGTACATGACACGTAGGGGGACAAACCGTGCAAGGAACAGCGCAAGCACTGCACGTGCTACACAGTGACCTGTTCATTCAATGACAAGATGCGCTCCTCAGCAGATGTTAAACAGTTGATGTTAAATGTGTGTATGATTTCTTTAGGAGTGAAGCAGAAAGAGCAAAGACTTTTTATGCAATTAATAAATTCTTGAAAAGAAATTCAAAAGCTCTTGGTATGTCCCCTCAGAAACTTAAAAATGTTGTTAGTCGACGAAATACAAATTGTCAGGCCAAGGAGGTAGGGAACATGTCAAAACCACGCAAGGTTGATAAATTAGACAGTTTTCAGAGGGATCAAGTCAGACGTGCAATTGTTAAACTGCACTCAGAAAATAAGTACCTGTCCCTTAGAATTTTGAAGAAACACCTTGAAAGTGACCATGATTTACGTGTTGTACAAAGTACAAACTATGGCAGCTGTTGCATACATTCGGTTACAAATACAAAAAGATAACTGGAGAACATAGGGCTGTGTTGTGTGAACGGTCTGACATTGTTCGTCTCCGAAATCATTACCTTTGTACCATCAAGCAGAAACGTGAAGAAGGATATGAGCCCGTCTTCTTAGAAGAGACATGGGTAAATGCGTGACACACAGCCAGCAGTCAGTGGGTACCCAGTGGTGACTGTAAGGAGTCTGGTAGAAAGTTACCAATGGGAAAGGGTGAAAGACTCATAGTTCTCCATGCTGATTCTGCTAGTCAGCGTTTTCTCCCAGACTGTGACC